ACATGTCCCAATCTTAATTTGATCGCGATCGATATGAACGTGGTAACATTTATGAAAACGTTATACATCTATCTAAACTTACAAGGCTAAACTTTCTCATACTGAACAAACTAAATGTGTGAAAATGACTGTTGATTGTACAAGAATGGTATATGGTATATACCTGATTCGTACATTTAAGCGTTCCTTGTTCGTTTTAATCCTACACAATCGGACGCCAATAAAAGTGTGTGAAACAAAGGGCGTGAAATACTTTACATTTCGCAACAAAAAACTGAATATTGATAAGTGACGGCTGAAACAATTAGAATTTTGGTCACGTTACCATATTTTTGCGTAAATTCTGACGTCTTTTGCCAATACTTATTATGCACTGTTCTCACATACACACTGTTCGCTTCCATAGACAGCTTTTGAGGTCTTCCCGATCAAGGCAAATTTGCCACGGAACCGGTTATGTACGTAAATGATCCCAAATGCATCGACACAATTGATACACTGAGTGTTGCCATGGTTGCAAACAACATAGGTCGCGCGGAGACTCAAATCGGAGCGGGAAATTCTAGGGGAGTTTTACATAGAGCAGTACCAAACCACAAATTCAACCAAATCTTTTTGAAAGGATGAACAATAGCAACGAATTTTCGCCCCGAATATTTGCCGCATAGAACGAATTTTCGCTCGAAATTTCGGGTCGCACTAACTCCATCAAGGAATATGTCGCCGAAAGTTCTGATGTTTCACATTTACATCAAAGTCAGAAGGATTCTTTTTGAGATGGGTGGAATTCAGAGTGAATGGCTCTTCCAGGTGACCCGAATTTCAGCCGGATACATAATAATTATGACACGCCATCGTTCAAACGAATATGCAGAATTTGGAATTTCACCAAGCGCGGACTTCCTATTCAAAGAAGGTGACGGTCACGGTCTCGCATCTGTTTCCGTTTATGTGTCATATGTTGGTCCGGAAGCAGATCATTCAACAGCTTATCTTGGAAGAAAAAAATTCAGCGATGAGGGTGGAAAAGCTATTGAAGAAGTTCTTTGGTTTTCACGGACATTACTTTTATCGATATTCTGTTACCTTTTACTCCATAATTTTTCTTTGTTTGTGTCATTCATAAAGTTCTTTACCGTAAATTTTATTCATTCGGAACTACCGTTTAACTGCTTGAACCGCCTTACTGTTTCTACTCCCTTTATCAATCACTTTACGTCGCTTTACATCGTCTCTAATTTGCCATTTGGCCCGTATCTCGCACAACGTTTCAACCGCCTCAAATGTCCATTTCGCTTTAATACTTCAGTTAATTTCGTTTGTGCGTTGGACATATGCGAGTGATTTTGGCCGCAATACTTAATGAGCTCCACTTCATGAGAAACCTTGAAGATAATAGCTTCAACATACTCCTTTTTGCATTTCCTAGAGAAAAAGTGTAAAAATATCAAATGCTGTTGGGAACACAGCGACTAAAACAAATAGGGTCAGTTTTTGGCGCCAAGTGCGCTACACTTTCCGGGGCAAAAGCCCAATGGAAAATTATAATAAACTACCACTGTCACGCTGAAACAAATTATATTGAAAAAATTAAAACTAGAGATTCTTCGAGCTCAAAGTTCATTTAATTGCAGGTTTTCTTTTTACATCGTGTTTTAATTTTACAAAAAAAAAGTCTGGGCTCTTAACTTATAAGTGATTGGAAAGAACAACGATCACTCACTAACCTTGGATAACCAAGTGAGGGCTTCCGATTTTTTTTAAGGTCGAACACCCTCCAAGATCTAAATTGTTGAGCTGTAAACAATATCATGATGTTCTAGTAAGACAATTCACAGTTAACCGCTGAGTTGATAATGTAAATTGACCACCGTAAAAGTTTCTTAAATCTGACTTTTCTACCATTAGCCCTTCGTCAGAGCTGGAGACATGTTACAGTAGTCTGATCTGAACGCTTTCAGCCCAACGGGGACCATCACCCGACTCAACTTATAATTAACGTTTCGTGTTTCAGGACTGTTTAATTTCTTTGTTTAAAGATGTAAAAAATATTTCTAACTTGATTCTAAATTACACAAAAGAGTATCGTTTGAAAAAAAATACTAAATGCTCGTTTGCTAAAGTATTTTTGTTCTCACAAATTTTCTACTGTTCAGATTTAATGGCAAAGGTTTGTTTTCATGGCAGGTCAAAAGAAAAAAAACAGTGCCCAGCAAAATGGATTTTAACTCATGGAACATCTTCTGGGGTATATTTTTTGGTGTGTTGATGACATTGATCATTGCTGGAAATGTTCTCACCATCTGGATATTCTTCAAACAGAGACACCAAAAACGCTCTTACTCGCTTCTCATAAGCTTAGCTGTTGCTGATTTGCTGGTGGGAATTTTCGCTGTCCCTTTTTTTATGAAAGAAAGTGATGCATCACAGCGACACACATGGCACCCTATTTCCCTCGGTGCTGACGTTCTCACTGGCATAACGTCCATCTACAATCTTGCAGTCATTTCCTTGGAAAGAATGTTCGCTGTCGGTTGGCCTCTTCGTCACAGAACTCTGAACTATCGTGTTTACGTCTGCGCTATCAGCATACCGTGGATCATAGCGGCAATATTTACTACTTCAGTGGTGTTACGGAAGCTTGATATAATAGGGAGGGAGAATTACTTGTATTATCTTGTTTTAATTTCTGGAATCCCTCTGATAACTATATGTGTAGTAAACTTTGTTGTTTGGAAGAAGCAGAAATCGCCATTTCGCAACCAGAATCATATCAAAAGAGAAGTGAAATTGGCGAAGACACTAGCTCTCATAACAGGAACAACACTTTTTACCTGGCTTCCTTTTCAAAGTCTAAATATTTTGTATGAATTGAAAGTCACGGAAAATTTTCACCTTTTAGGATTAACAATATTCGTTATCAAAATTTTACAGTTTAGCAATTCATTTGTGAACGTGATAATTTATCAGTTCAGAATCCCAGAATTTAAGCGCATGTTATTCCAGATACTTAATTTCTTTGTAATTCCCTTTAGAAGATCCAGCACTGAGATATCTCCATCAGCCGGGACCGGATCAGTTGTGTCCTTGATAACGTTTACAAATTTGACATTTTCACTACCAAACGTTCACCAGGAAAGTTCGCTTTGGGTCTTAAACCGCTTAGGCACATAGACATTGCTACAATGGGTGTGGAAAATAAAAAAAAGTATATGTATATACTTGTTAGACCCATTGCGCTTGCGCACTGTACAAGACGAATCTGAACAAGAGCAATGAACAAGAACTAAATAAAGCCTATGTTGAAAATCAATGTTCCAGGATCAGGTAATTTATACAACTTTTAAGGCAAAAATGCATATAATATTTCAAATAAGATTAAACAAAATCCTTTGATCTCCAAAATGATGACCTGAGAGCAACATTTATCAGAAAAAAGGTTATATCCCATCCGAAAGAGGCATAGTGCACATAATTTTTAATGGCAAATTTCACAAACTAGTATTTTGACGACAAAATGAAGGTCCAAAAAAGACACGGCTATCAACGTTGCCTGGTTGGAAATGTCGTCGAAATTTCGTTTCGGACAAGAATTCGTCGAAAAGCTAGGAATTTCGTCGACAGATGTTTGCATTACTTTTGCACAATACTATAATTAATTATGAACTTAATGATTGAAATTAACACCAATCTCGATAAGTCGAACCGGTTTAGTTCCCTTCAGAGTTCGCAATACAGGGACTCTACCGTAGGTTGGTAACTACGGTATGAAATTATGCGGTTATTTTATTCATGATTACGGTCGTCAGTTACATGATCAGCTGGGTCAAGTAAACAAATGGCAAACAACATCTCATAAAAGCTACTTTTTAAGAGGACTCCGGCTTAAATTACCGCTCGATACATACTAAATATGATAAATCTATTTGAGAGAAAATTCCTGTCCTTTAATGCCGGCTATCAATTGTTGATCTTCCAAACATTTTTCGCTGTTTAGACATTGCTTATTATGGCCTTCATATGGTTAGTGATGCGGAACTCATCAACTCGCATGGCAACTCACTTTGTTATATGTGACGGGTTGACTATCTCTACTAACTTTTTTCTTCCCCAACAACATTTTAAATTTAAATCTAAATCTTCTGAAATAACTCTATGTATTGTAAAAATGACGTATTTTACGGAGTTTTTTAAGTTGATTGCGATCATTCTAGGAAACGTAAATTGGCGGTGTGTTGAGTTCTGCTTATCCTCGGTCATTTCTGTCCTTGACTTTTGAAGATGGGAGGATGAGGGTCTGACGAGAAAGAAATATCACATGCGAGTAAAGCCCCCTCCCCTCGGCCGATTGTACATGCTACGAGACAAGAAAACGAAAGAAAGGAAAATAAGTGCATCTTAGCTACATGTGAGACATGGAAACACGTTCCTCGGCAGAGCGGCAAGTTCGTTGGTACCGGGAGCCTCATAAGGGACCTTTTTCCCAGGTGCAATAAAAACATTCATCTGGTCACAAGCGACAAGGTTAATCATTTCATCTGCCGATTTGAGTGGCTACTCCTTGTATTTCATGAAATCAGGAGACAAAAGAAAAGATTGGGAACTACTTGATATGGTGTCTGACGAAGTGATCCTCAAATCAGGCCTCGCAATTATGCCTGTTGACCCAAACAAACTTAACATCTTTTTCAGTCAAAGGCCAAGCAGTTGCTGTGGGTGCCATTACTCTTGGCAAAAACGAGCAGATTTCTTTTGTTCTGTTTTCACAGATTGATAGAATACAACCATCTTCAGGTTGGTAACTTTTGGTTAGTTCAGCGTACGTATACTTTCAAGTCATCTTAAAGGTCTTGAACGTAACCAGCAATATGTGCAATTTATTTATTTGGCTCATTATCTTCGGAAATCTAAATTAATTTCCATAAAGGAGCTGGCCTGCACTCCCAGACACATTTGTTGGGACATCTCTGCCTTCCCTGCCCTTCTCAGTGATTTGCAAGATGGCACAGACACATGATTGGCAAATGATAGCATTAGAAGGGGCAGAGGGCCAGAGGAACATCATAGAAATTTCTCTGGAGAAGCGTCCCAGTTAAATTTGGCCCAGGAATACATTATACTGCTGTTATTGAATCTAGTCTATTGTGGTAACTCTCTCAGAATAGCTCTAACGTATGATCACATCATTTACTGAAAATTCTCCCGCATGGCCTTGCTTGTGCTGCAATATTCATTATTCTTTGTCTCTAAATTGTCGTTTTCATGTGTCTATTCTTTTAATTCTAATGTCTGGGAATACTTTCCAATTGAACTTCACGTCTGCTCCTGTGAAGCGAGCTGGGCGGTATATTTGCTGAGTTTGGAATAAACATAAACAAGGCCTTTTTCGTCAGGTTTCTCCTGAAGTTGATTATCCAACTCGGTACTCAGTAACATAAATTAAAAAGCAGTAATTTTCGGCTGGATTTTTGGCAGAGAAAAGCCTGGTATATCATAACCAGCACCTCTGAGGTTACACACTCACAGTTGTCGCTCTCTATCTTTGAGACGCCTCTCTTGAAATTTCAGCGGACAGGCTAATTTCTTAGCTAATTAAAAACCTGCTACAAACCCAACAGGGATTCAAGGATCCAGTACATCACTTACTTCAGAGAGTACTACATCATCGACATCCAATTGCAGCTCTGGTTTGACAACAGTGTCGACTGAGTCAACAGGAAAATGTATGTAAGGATACAGAAAAGATAATAGCAAGATCTGACTTTCATGTGCGTGCAGTTCCTTGAATAATTTTTGATTTAATCAAACCCAAAATTATTGTATCCAATGTTAACTTCCAAAATTTGATTCATCATTTTCCTTCTGGAAGGCACATATTTTCCTGACAACTTTTCTTAAATGGCCAACTCTTTTGATATATCCCATGCTAAATGGCCACAGATATAGCAATTTTCTCCTTTTGTGTACTAAAAACCAGATGAAATAAATGGAGGAGGTGGAGAACAACAGTTACCAGAGGAACCAGCAGAAGGAGGAGAGCAACAGGTGCCAGGGGAACCAGCAGAAGGAGAAGAGCATCAGGCACCAACTGAACCAGCAGTAGGAGGAGTTCTTCAGGTACCAGGGAAACCAGCAGTAGGAGGAGAGCAACAGGCACCAGGGAAAGCAGCAGGAGAAGGAGAGCAACAGGTACCAGAGAAACCAGTAGAAGGAGGAGAGCAACAGACATTAGGGAAACCAGCAAAAGGAGGAGAGCAACAGGTACCAGGGAAACCAGCAGTTGGGGGAGAGCAACAGACACCAGGAAAACTAGCAAAAGGAGGAGAGCAACAGGCACTAGGGAAACCAGCAGAGGGAGGAGGGCAACAGACACCAGAGAAACCAGCAGAAAGAGGAGAGCAACGGGCACCAGGGAAACTAGCAGTAAGAGGAGAGCAACAGGCATCTAGGGAACCAGTATTAAAAGGAGAACAACAGAAGAATTGTTCTAAACAAGGTAATTACAGAAATAGAGATTTATGTTCTCTGAAGCACATCTATAAAGACTTTTGATATCCTGTCAACAGTGATCTCTTTTACAATAAATTTTTACCAGCGGTGGGTTTTTATCATTGCAGATGGTGGTACATTAACATCAAGTTTCAGCAAGGATGCCAGGCAACAAGAAACTCTGAAGCACTCAGTGGATCAGGACACATCCGCTCAAGGTGTGTAATTTGGAATTATTTAATATACCTTTCAAAACTAGATCAAGTGAAGTCATTTTACTCATAACACTCTTATTATTTGATAGTTATCATTTAATGAAATAAGTACGAATATAACTGCTCAGTTTTGTGACTATTCTCAATTGTTTTGATCGTTCAACATATCGTAATAGGTGAAAGAAAAAAGCCACTTCATCAGTATGCAGTTGAAATTGAAAATGGCAGAACTGCTTCAGAAAATGGAATGGTGATCGAAGGACAACAAGATTTGGAAGGAAATTTGAAAATGGGTAATCAGCACACTTTACAGTCCAACCACGATAGGTGAAGGACATTACTTTTGTAGAGAGATTTTCATGGGGCTAAAATTAACCCACTGGTCGATCCAGGTTCTTGCAGGAAGTGATCTTAGGTGTCTGCGTGTGTATAAAACTAGACTGTGAATGAGGAAAGATTAAAAGGGAAAACTACTTTGGTGAAATTCAGAAAAGAAGTCTGGCTGTAAGCACAAGATATTAAATAAATTCGATAAGGAAAGCGACTGAAAACATCTCAATTGAACGATAAGGGCTCGTGGTATGAGCAACCTTCACTGCTTGGATCCAACCAGCAACAATGAGCGAGTTCTGTCACCGAGAAATTTGATCACACATTCAAAATGCTGTTGTTCCTATCGACAGATGCTGCTGCTTGCAATAAAGAAGGTAATTGGTGGTCATTTTGGAAATCATGATTGCCTTTTTTGAATAATTCTGACAGTTGGGTTAATAACGGTAAGTACTGTAGTTTAAAGTTTAAAAGAGATTCCAGCTTGGCACATGAATTTGGCTGAATAATCTCCTATATTCAGCAATCATTTGCTTCCTTCTATGATGTAAAATATTTTTGTTTTTTGATAGCTTTCCCTGGTAAAGGAATATAAGATGTTTTCCTCCCTGTTTACCATTTAAAAGCAATCCTTCGGACATTGCACAAATTGGCAGAGGGCGTGGTAGCTTTGGCTCAGCTCTGTGTTTTGTACTCCGATAAAACACGCTCTTGCAACCGATGACAGCACGCGTTATATCCAAACTTCATCATAAATTTATGTTATTAAGGTCATCGATATTATTTGGGGAAGGCTGTGGTCTTGAAATTAAATTAGGGAATTAATTATAAGGACATTTCCTGTAAACTAGTCATGGAACAAAATGAATTAGATCACACATTCAAAATGCTGGTGTTCCTAATTGACAGATGCTGCTGCTTGCAATAGAGAAAGTAATCGGTGGTCACCTTGGAAATTATGGTTGCCTTTTTCGAATAATTCTCACAGACATGATAATAACGGTAAGTACTTTTAAAGGTTGAAAGAGATTCCAGCATGGCACATGCATTTTGGCTGAAAAACCTCCCATGTTCAGCTATCATTTGCTTCCTTCTTAGTTGAAAAATGTTCTCCTTTTTAGGGAGCTTACACTGGCAAAGAAAGCTAATGTTTTTCCTCTCTGTTTACCATTTGAAGGCAATCCTTTGTTATTTGTTTGGGTACCTTATGGTTTTGTTTTACCTCTCGGGCATAATTATATGAGTGTGCAGACTTCGCGTTCGTATGGACTGCAATTGTTGGTGATTTCTAGTTGCAGAAAATGGCATCTTCATTGAGGCCCTCAGTTGTAAAATTTAAGGGGGGGGTGCCCTTCCCACCCCGGAGCCTCCAGGGGCTTCAACCCATGGTTTTCATAGTTTTGACTTTACCCCACCAAGTGCCTCTGTTTTCCATGTTAGGGATCACCGATTATTTTGGTAACATTCTGAGAAACAACTGATCTGTCTGTACTAGGTGTGAGCTAAAAGAAGGAGATTAACAAACCCTACGTACCGGTGTGTGACAGTCAGTGTTAGACACCATGGTCCATGAACCATTATTTGGATCATTCTTCACTAAATTAGAGACTAATGCTTTTTCATTTATCCTGTCATTAAGGAAATTTGTCTCTAAATCTATCGGGGAATAGCCGTTACGAAGTAAGCGTTGAACCAGCAAAGACTCCCCTGAAGGTAACAGAAAATTCTAATTGTACGACCTTCTATTGATGTTCCATCAGAGTAAAACCCAAACCAGATAGATGGAGTCCCGTAAATTGTATAATTTAGCCAAATAATTTTTAAACAGTTTTTTTTATTCGATCTGACATTGAAGCGTTACATTACACATAATGAAACGGAAAACAGTGCTCAAGCGATTTAAAAGCTTCTAATTGAACTTATAGCTATCAGAGCATGAAAAATGGCGAAAACCACATGATAAATCAATACAGTTCTCTGTGTGATTAAGAGCGACTAAAAGTCGCCCTTAAACAGTAATGGCAGACTAACAGTAATAGCAAACTAACTTTGTCACAAGATTCCAACGGTACTAAAGCTGTAAAGGGATAGTAAACCGATAAAAAGCTACACAATACTTTGTTCATTCCGTAATCTCCAACATCCTAAACGTGTTAGCGAAAAACGATCCTTGAAAACCGAACCTATTTCAAAGCGAAGAAATCATCAGGAGAAACGTCATTTCTTAGTAACTGTCGAGTAAATTCTCTAAAGTAAAATTATTTACAAAAATTTAAGTTAAAGTTATTATTTTGTTGTTTTACTTAGAATATATAGCATCCATTCTTTTCTCATTGAAACCGGACAACGTATAGAGAAGTTAATGCATTCAGACAAAATCGGGTAGATGGAGCTATTCTTTTTGTGTATGGTTTGATCTGGGATATTTATCTGTTCCAGCTTGAGCTCTTTGTGACCTTGTCTGTAGGAAAGAGAACTAAATTGCCATGAGTTTTATGTCAAACATATTTTGGTTGTTTTGGTTTCATTCTTTTTAAGGTAAATATTATGCGTCTTTGTTCCTCGCAGCTTTTAGATTTGAAGTCAGGCTCCATGTAAATTTTTTTCTCAGCGATCAGATGGGTTGGTGGTTAAGAACAAGTCAAGGCAAAATTGTTCTGGAACTTCGGTTATTTTATGAATGTTGAAACTTATGCAAAAGTTTTTTTTACATAAATTAGAGCGATGCCTTTTTTATTACATTTGAAGTATCCATTCTTTTGCTTAGATTTCCGGGAAGTGTTTTTAAATTTCCATCTCCATGTAGTAATTTGTGCATGTGCTTGTTCTGTGACACGTTTAAGGCAATTGAAAAAAATTATGAAGCTAATGAAATATATGTACAACAAAGAGCACTCAAAAACAATCAGGTGAATATTGCAAAACTTATCTGCCAGAAGTGATGACTTCTATGTAAATTGGGGAAATGTTCGTTTCTTTTTTTTTCTCCGGACTTTTATGGTGGTAAGACATATTTGTGACTGTAAAACAAGACGATTCTAAACATCTGCATGCCCTTTTTTCACCTTCTCGATCACTATGGGTTTTTTCTGTCTACCAATAATCTCTTTGAGCTCAAGCTCAGATGACAGCCGTTCTTAACTTACTTGGAACAATTGCATCTACTTGTTTTGTTTTATAATTTTCAAAACTTTTGAAACCCCCATCTTGAATTAGAACAGGGCCCTTTAAGTTACTGTGACCTTCGAGAAACGCCAACATTACCCGCAAACTTTCTTGGTTATAGTCCAAACCGTCTTTTTTTCTTCCTTTCGAAAAACTTCCCCAGCTTCAGATCAAGTTCCTTGGCGTCGTAGCTCCCAATATCCAGGCCTAAATCGTTTTAGTCAGCTCAGGTTGACCAAACTGCAAGCTAGGTTTCCGTGCTTTTCTTATTGTTTTCATTTTCTGCTTTTTCCATGAGTTGTAGCCATTCTTTCGCGTCACAATCTGGAATCTTTCCGCCATTGTTTCAAAATTAGAAATTTATTATTAAGTATTTCAAATTTGCCAGAAATACTATTGGTCTTGGCCAATCACATTTCAAAAATTTCTCAGCTTTTAATATAACTGTGTAAATGTATAGTAATGATTACAAATTTATGTTTCTTGAAATTTAAGCTGATTTTTTAATTCTTCCTAAATAGGGTGGAGGTCTCTGCTTGTTCACTTTTAAACCCGACCTACCCTCAGACATTACTTCTGGAACTGCTAAGTTTGCTGATCTGGGCTCTGTTGATTTAAATGGAGTTAAAAATAAAACAAACTGTCTTTTTGGAAAAGGAATTCCTCGTAAGTAAAGTTGTCTTGATTTGAGTCAAGTAATAAAATACTCTTGATGTTTGAGCTTGATAAAAATTAAAGAAGATTGGAAGGCCAATGATGTTAGAAATGTTAGCAATGTGTAGCCATGGACATCTCCTTTTAAATACCCAACTTAAAAACCCCTTTTTTTGTTGAGGCAAGTTACTCAACCACTTTTTTACGAAAAACCAAGCAGGCATGTGATTGTTCGCCTTTTTCAGATTTGACACGGACGCAGCTGGAACCCATGAGGTTCGTAGTGAAATGAATTTGGACTCAACGAAGTGTCTCTAAAACTGACCCACAGATAATAACTGACTCAAAAATTTTTTAAGACAGCCCATTTCATGAGACCTAGAAGATTTTCATACAGATCTTTCATATCTTAGACTTAAAGAAGACGAAAAATGTACACGGTTTGTTTTCATAAACCCACATTTTGTTAGTTTATTTTCAATGCTGTGAACTGCCTTAGAGTGAATGATAGGCACAACATCATCGTTTTGCACAGTAGTATGAATGGCGTCAAGATGTACATTTTGAATCTTCCAGCTGCTGAGGAAGAAGGCTTGGTCACTGTAGAAGTGGACGGAAAAAGTGAGAAGACTGGCAAATCAAGTGATCTTGGCCAAACAAAAATTTACTACTATGATGAACGCAAAAAGGTTCTCAAGCAAATAGTCCAAGATCAAGAGCAGAGTCGCACCTTTTTCGAAGCGTGGAAAACTGCTTGTGAAGGACACTCCACTAATAGCAGAGAAAACGAGACGATATTCCCTAGTTCAGGTAAGCACGAGAGACAGTTTGACATCTGTCGTCAGTCCCAAGTAAACGTTGAATTCCTTGTAAAAATATGTAGAAGACTATTGGAATCCAAATAGTGTGTGTTGAGTTCTTTGGCGAGATGCATGTGGCTGTAAATAGGTTTCCTTTAAAATGCATCTCTTACTAACCGATTTCGAGGTCCGCAGAGTAAGTTACGGACCGAGTTTTTTTTCCACTCAGATTTTTTACACTCAGGTTGCGCGCGGGCCATACATTGTATGGCCCGCGCGCTTCGTGCTTTGGCCATAAATCTGGGCAGAAAAAATAAGGTTCCGTTACTTATCTATCTCTGGGTTCAAATAGAAGGGGGGAGATTTCAATTCAAAAAAAACTTCTAAATTTGGCAGGCCGCACGTAGAAAATTTTCGCTACAACAACCATCCTCACAACAACACACAAGGCCTAAAGGGGATAGAAACCCTATTTGTTTTGAGATTAGGAGTAAATTGTCCAATGATCCTAGCGAATTGTCTGGATACCGTTTTAACATCATATTACATCAAAAGTCTTTCATCAAAATTTCTTTCATAGAGGACATGAATTCAGGGAATCCGTTACATTCACTTCAAGGCTTACTGCTGTTGGTGTATACAGCAGCAGAAACTGATGCTCGGCAGTTCATTGAACTAGTCTTCAATTCGTCTGCTGGAAAAGTGGTCTTCAACGCCTACAGGTGTACCTCTCCATTACCAGAGGATGTTGCGAGAGCATTTGGCCACGAAGATACTGCGCAGTACCTTGAGTCCATAAGTAAAAGGTACCGTGTATATTTCCATGAAATACTCATTTTTACCATGGTGTTGAAAATACACCAATTATAATATGATGATGATGGAGTAAGGGACTTTCCAAGTCAAAAATTTAATTGAAGCTGAGGCTAAACGTGACTTAAGTTCTGGAGAGCAAAGGGGGCTCAATTCGCACTGTCCTTTTCGCACCTACTATTGAAGAAATATAGAATAGTTTCCGTGTTTACATAGCCTGATGTAAAGACGCGGGAGGTTGGGAGAACACGAGATAAGCGTAGGAAACCACGACGCGAAGCGGACTGGTTTCCAGCTTATCGAGTGTTCTCCCAACCTCCCGCGTGTTTACATCAGGCTATGTAAACACGGAAACCATTTTACATTTCTTTTATTAAATAACTAATGAAAGAGGAACGAAAACCATGTTTACATACGCTCATGTAAAATGGTTTTATGGCCAATCAGAGCGCGCGTACTATTTGAATTATTTTATGTTGTTATATATAGCACACTCAACTACAGGTATCTTTGAGACCTTGACAATTGGCTGTTTCGTAGGAGTTGACCATTTAATAAGAATTTGCTAGCAACTAAAACTAGTAAGTCAGAAGATTGGAGAAGTTATTTTCATTTGACTTTAACCTTTTTTTACTTTGATTCAGGAGCATAATTCGAATTTCAATCTTTTACAATTGCAATTCTTAAGGGACTCTTTTTAAGGCAAAAGAAAAGTAACATCTAAAATTGTTAATCTGAAGTGTGAAGGTAGTAGTATTTACACTTGAGACTTTTAAACATACTGAACTTTATGTAACTTTATAACCGAGTAGGTCGTCATTTCCACTGTACTTTATATTCTGGGTGTATCGGGTTGTATTGAATTGCAGCAAGGAAAAAAACAATGGGACCATTATTCCCTCTTGATCGCAGTTAATCAAAACTATGACAAAATTCTCGAACATGATTGGTTAACTCTAGCCCGATTTGAGCACTAAGAGGACAGTGTAAGCGTCATGCTTGTAATTGGATAATCTAATAGGACAGTTAAAGGGACAGTTAGCACGTCATGTCTTTTTAAGTGGACAGAACCCATGATGTGCGCGAGCTGTTGTCTCGCATTTCGCTGAGTTAACCGTTGGTTTTTTTTTATGAAAACGTACAACCAATGTATAGTTTCTTTCTCGAAGTTTCTCGTAGTTTTAATTAATTGGTAAGAGGCCTTCGTGTTGTCCGATTCTGTCTATAACCACACTCTTGATTAAAAAAATCGGACTCCCGCTTCACACTCATATGATTACAGACTGAACTGGACTCCACTCCGTCCTATCACCATTATTAATACAAAATACTGCACTTACCTTAAAATAAAGGCATCATAAGTCACTAAGACAAAAAATTAAGAACCCACAGCTACGAATAAAAACCAGCCATATTAGGTGGACATTTTTCTTAAAATTTTTAGTACGAACAATTTTTTTATTTTCAGCATTAACTGAAAAGTGGACATAACTTAGATTTGTCTCTTGATTAGCTTGTTTGTTATAAGAAGTCTAAATTTGATTTTTGTACTTAGATTGTCTCAAGATTTAAGCGTCAATGAAGAATACTTAAAAGCAAGTCATATTTTAGAGCTTGCTGAGGCAGTCAAAAATCAGTCAAGTAAGTAAATGAGATAAGCCCTTCCGATTTCTTTAACGAGGGACCACCATAATGCCCTTGAGCTAATTTCAAAAGTTCCCAAAATAGAAGGAAATTGATAATAAATATCTTTAAAGAAACGCTCACTATTCTTACTGAAAATGCGAAGACTTGAGAAAATTACAGTGAATGAATGCTCCCAATTGAATGTAGAGATGCTTCTCTATCCACTTTATTAAAGCAAATCCTGATTTATTAAGGAGACGCGTGCCCAATCGCAGAAAGCGACATCACACTGCAGTAAGTCCTCCCCTCTAGACGATTGTCTCTCCACAGGCGACAATCATTGGGAAAACTTTTTCTCTACAGAATCAGAGGAACAACAAGATCAAACAGTGAAGAAAGGCGAAGGAGAAAACTGTTCTGAGTTCACAAATGAAGTTGATCCAGGTAAGAAAATGGAATATTTCCCCTATGGTGTAGTCAGTGCGGGTTAAAAAATGACTATATACATCACTTTCGACAATTGCAGGGGTACCAGATCATTAAAATCTCCTCTTGCACCAGCACCAACATCTATAGAAAGAATGAATGAACCCTTAACCATTAAACCCCTAAGAGCAGTTCACATCTAATTTCTCCCAAAAATATCACTGCTGGATCAATAATTAAGGTCATGAGAATAAAGGAAACAATTAACAACTAAAGAATAAGCTCTAACTTGATATTTAAACAAATTCTCCTTGTTAGCACCTCAGGAAATGTATAGGGAACAGTATGGAGAATATGCATACTGATGTTAGGGTGTAAGGGGTGAGGGGAAACTTCTTATTGTGCATTTTTCATGACGCAAACAATTTTGACCCATCCAAATACACTACAAGCAAGAAAGAGCCATTCTTCTTTCAAATCAATCACAATTGGCACAGTTACAATGATTAGTCCTTTACAAAGATAGTGTACAGAGGAATGCAGTCCATCTACATTCAGCAAAGCACATGTGATCTATTACCCAGACAAAAACATTTTATCTAGTTAAGGAAATAGAAAACATATCCTAGAGGAGAAGATTTATGAAGACCCAGCAAAATTTAAGAAGAAAACAACTGTGTTGCAGTTGAGGTTGGGAGCTCCTTGTCCATGCCAAATCTTTTGTTTAAATATTCTGGCATTAAGACCAGATTTGTGTAAATCAACGACATGTTTGTTAGCTTGCATTACAACTGGAATCCTACAGAAGAGCCAGGTCCGAGCCCTTAAACTACAACTCTACAAGCCTTTCACTGCTTTCATTTTACTTCAATTGCAAGTATCGTACCAGGAATAGAGGAGCATTTTACTTATCCCCTCTCAGTAGTCCCTCTGAAAGAGCTACAAAAGAGTTAGCCTGGGAATTAAGCAAAATAGAGAGCATACCTTGTCCATGTGTTGGAGGATTACCATCTCTTCTTTCTGCTAATGCCTCTGTTGGCTCAATCCCTGCTTCTTCTGGTCCCTGACATCCTTCTGCCCCACTTCTGACTGGTTTTCAGGATACAAAAGGAGAAAAAATTGAGATCTCTTGTATACCGTAATGATTTACAGGCATTCAGGCAATCCAACCAAAACCTTCCATTTTCCTGTAGGGCTTCATTTGGCTAAATAAATTCCTTGAACAGACTAACCCAGTTACAACTAATAACAAAACAGAGCTACAGTTAAATGTGGAAGATATGACCATACAGTACTCTCTGGAGTAGCTGGTGGGCTGGACCCTTGGTGAAGAATTCAGAGCTCAAGTTTTGAGTAGGGTCACTGTATCGTGTTTGTAAGGCAACAAAATTTAGCCCAATATTATGGCTCTGTCCAGTTCAAGACGTGCTAGGGTGGATAATACATTGAAAGAAAAACCTGATGGAATTCTGAGAGAATAACCATGAAGGACCTATATCGAAAGTAATATGTCAGGGGCAACCAATTTAGATTTCCATAGATAATGAACACTTAAGTTGACTGTATTTTTTCAGAAAACAAGTAAAGTTGGGCACTGCAATGTTCATTATCGGTAAAATCCAGGGAAAGTCCAAGCATGAGCTGAAAGGAAAAATTCCCACCTGTAAGCAAAACAATCATCTGATGCCGGTAACGTTCAAGACTTAAAAAGAATTGACTTACAAAATGATAAATGTACAAGTACCCTAAACCAACCAAAAGTTACCAATCTGAAGGTAACGGTGAATTATTAATCTGTGAAAACAGTACAAAATAATTCTGCTGGTTGTTGCCTAGAGTAATGGCACCCACAGCTTCTGCTACGCTGTCTTCGCCAGTGATGGTGATTGGAGCACCAAGGCCTTTCTGAGAACCGCGGTAAACGCTAGGGCCTTCTATCTTCCTGGGAGTTTCAAGTAGGTCAGCGAGATATGTTTCTTCGTCTGCGATCCCCATCACCTTGTATAATCCTCGGTCCTACCGACGCAGAGACAGACGCAGCACCATTCTAAGGTCCGAGCTTCACCTAGCGATTATGCAGAGCACGCTCGTGGAACTTTTTTGCCCAGTTTAGGTCACCCAGCCGACAGTGTAAAAGACTCGAGTAAGATTTTGCGACATCGACATGCCCTGGTCCGAGCTTTTTCAGAAAAATGTCCAGCGCACGATCTTGGTACTCTTTTGCCCGCCTTAGTTCACGTGATTCCCTGGGATTGAAGGAGGTAAAGATAATCCCACGAAAGTGAGACGCTCCTCCCTTGAAAAGCAGATGTTCAATATCTGTAATCACTTTTTCTAAACGAAGAACAATTTTCGTGGCAAAGACCAGAGAATCTAGATCCTTAAACTTGCACAAGGATGTAACAGCGTCGAATGCGATTTTCACGAGTTTCTTTTGAAAAACTATTTGTTACCGCACTAACACAGCAATGGACTACTTCCTGTACTCGAAGGTAAACACCACTCTCCTCTTCGTCAAACAGCATTAATGGGCATCGCTTTATCTTCGCGCCAATCGTTTCTTCATCGTCATATACTTCCATCGTCTTGACGTAGTCGACAACGACATCTTTCGGTATTGGTTGTGGTGCACAAAAGGAAAGAAAAGTAAACAAGTGATCCATGACTCTGTCAGAGGTCATTGCCCTTTCCACAGTGACTGTTGTAGCTGTTTTCGTTGTTTTGTGGTTATTTGAATTGGTCTCAGCGAGAACATGTTCAGTTGTTACAGTTGCACAGTCAACACAATCAGCATTCAAAACTGCTTTGTACTGCGGAACTTCTCCGGAATGGATAGCTGAGCTCGCCAAAGCAGGCGGCTGGTATATGCAAATTCTTTTTCCATCTTGTAATCAGTGACACTAGTAACGAGCCTTAAACAAGAGCTGGCTTCATCAGGATGTATCCCTTCGCTTACTGAGGTGTGCTGAATGGATGAGCTTGCTAAAGGAATAGACGCGTTGTGTGAGTATCAGCAAATGGACCCTCGCCCATTGATGGTTTCTTAGATTTGGCAAAAAACTGTGTAAATGAGCTAAACTCGTGACATCGTCAGCTGCTAGCGGCCACGATGCGCCAATCTTAATTTTGGCCTAAATTACCGTCTTCAGACTTGTAATCCTCCCGTCCGAGCTCAAATCTTTGGAATTCAAAGCGTTCATAACTGTTTACCCTGAAAATGTGGAATGAATTTTAGCGAAAAAAGCGTATGTTTCTATAAGGACTACTGGACTATTAGCATTTAGCGACACGCCGAAAGAAACCGCAAAGGGAGTTTCTTTAACTTTATAATAAATTGCCCGCCTACTTTCTAGTGTAGCAGAGATTTCCCAAGTCCAGGCTCTTCAATAATAATTATCGTTCTTGAGTCTTCGAACACTTTGTGCGCTTGGACGATTTCATAGACATAGTTACGCAGCTGCTCGTTACGGAAGGACATATCGTTCAGTTCTTTTTCGAGTTTCGCATCTTATTCTTGATTTTCCTTTCCATTTGCTTCAATTTTCGGAATTTTCTCTCGGGCTTTTTGATGTAGGTAGTCAACTTCTTTTAACACATTTCTTAACTCTTCTGTTGGAAAACTTCTCTGATTTTGGATTTTATGGATTTTCTGGGTGGGAATACTGAGGCTACGTTCACACGGTACCAGACGAGTTTTCGACCTGCCGAAAATTTCGACCGGACATTCTCTTCACACAGCACCGTGCGAAAGTTTCGTTCTGTTCAGATGGAACTGATAAAAGAATGAAGTTTGTGACATTTTTCAATGTTTTACCGTCTCCTCATACGTAGAACGCTTCTTAACCCAACACAAAATGGCGTCCAGAGAGGAACAAGTCAATTCGGATAGTAGCACGGACAACGAATATTTCACCTGAACGGATGAGGAGACAGCACTATTGCTTAATGTTACTTTGTCACGTAAAAATGAGAAAACGAGTGAGGGGAAAGAATGGAAATCGATAAGAACAAGGCACGAGGAATTACATGAGTTTTTCACCCCATTGTTCTGGTTATTAACCATCAGCTAACTTGAAACCCGTCTAAGGCAAATCATTTCTGGTTTCCCTAGGGAGTTCGAGTCAGCGGGGTTCTCGTGTGTTATCATTCTTATCATTACCTTGTTTTTGACCGCTGATTACTGGAACGAAGACTCGTGTATTTCCGGGTTTGGGCTTTGATGGTGGTAGATGATTGTTACCGAGTATCGTATAGCGGTGAAACTGTGTGTATCTTCGGGTTTGGAAAAGAAGAGCATGGGTAGGAAGAACCTGAAAGATTCAAGTGGAGCCTCTAACCCTTCGAATCTATTGCCGCCGGTACATACAACGAGAAAACACAGGGAAAGAGAGGAGAAGAGGTACAAGTTAGGTACTTGTGCTATCGGGGAAAAGATTCCTATGCAAAGTGACATCTTGCTTGGTACTGGAAGCCTCGTTAAGGACTTCTTTGAGAATTCTTTGGTTAAAGGAATATATTTGATTACAAGCGACGAGGTTATTTCATCCGATGATTTAAGTCGCTACTTTTTACGGTTCAAGAAGCTAAATGGCAAAGTCAAGGAACGGCCGCTTCGTAGTGTAGGCGACACAGTAATCTTCAAATCACCTGGCCTCGCAATTGTACCTGTTGATAGAAATAAATTTAGTTTTATTCGAAAACGTACTTCCGGTTTACTGCACCACCGTCCATTTACCTTATACAATGAAGAAAACGAAGGTGGAATAATTTCTGAATCATACTTCCATGCTGTTGTGGAATTCGGAAAGACGTCATTTGAAATAAAACCTTTTCCCGCTGACAAAATTTCCACGGAGACAGAAAGCGTTAGCTGGTTTCGAAAAAGCCTTGGAGCTCCAATTCTATTCACTTCCGACGGGAAGGTAAAAGCTGTGGGTGCCATTACCCACAACAACAAGCAGATTTCTCGTGTGCTGTTTTCACAAATTGATAGGTATCGAATATGTTCAGGTTGGTAT